ATACCCTGGAAAATTCAGCTGCCAATCCTGTGCCTCTCACAACTGTATCTTAGTGACAGCAATGACAACATAACCTCATGTTATAATTTGTGCCCTTAACTCATCTGCCTTGTTCGTCAGACTCCTTGCTTTAAAATAAATATCGTCCAATCACCAAACTCCCTCATACCTTACCTGGCCTAGAATTTCTATGCCTTCCTGACTCACTTGCTTTCTTTAATTCTGGCCATTAATCTCCTCTGCTGAACCTTCTGTCTGAATTACACACCCCTCCAACCACCCAAAATTAACCCTCCCCAAAAGCTTTAGCAGCCTTCTTACAAGAATACTGATCCCATTCCAGTTCAGGTGCAGTCCTTTCACTTTGTACAGGTCCCACTGCCTCCAAAAACAGTCCTTAATATCAGAGAAATTTAGAGCCTTCCCTCATGTACTGTCTCTCCAGTCATGCATGCATCTTGACTAACCTCATATTCCTTTATTCATTCTCACATGGCACTGGAAGTAATCCAGAGATTACTACCTTCTGGGTCCTGCTTTTTAATCTATTTTCTACTCCTTAAATTACGTTGGCAGGACCTCTTCTCTTTTCATACCTATATCATTGGTACCAATATGTACCACGATCTCTTATCTGCTTGTCCTTCCTGAAGCCACTCAGTGATATCCTGAAGCCTGGCAACAGTGAAGCAACATTCTATTCTGCAGAAACGCCTGTCTGTTCACCTTACAGTTAAATCCCCTAACCTTACTGGTCTGTCACCTTTCTTCTTCCTCCTCTCTTGTGCCCTAGACACACCCATGGTGCCATGAAGTTGGCTGACACCACTTTCTCCTGTACAGTCATCTCCCCCAACAGTATCCAAAATGGTATGTCTGTCAGACAGAGGGATGGCCACAGGGGCTCCTGCACTACCTGCCTTCCTCTACTCTGCCTGGTAGTTACCCAAACCCTTTCTGCCTGTTCAGTCTTCACCTGCAGTGTGACCACCCCACTGACTGTGCTGTCCACAACATACTCAGTACCACGGATGCGCCACCGGGACTTCACCTGCAGCTCCAGCTCTGAAATGTGGTTTGCTAATAGCTGCAACTGGACACATTTCCTGCACACGTGGTCATTGGGGGCAACAGAAGCTTCCATGATTTGCTGCATAGCATATGTTTAATCTACATATGGAATCTTATCTGAACAGACATAATTTGGTATGTAAATCTTCCAGAGGGTTTAAAAGTAATTGCCAGATCTGATTGGCAAAGGCAAATTCTAGCAACAAATTTATACAACAAAGGTGTCAAGAAACTGAAAATAATTATTTTTCGTGTTAATGAGAATGAATCATAAACCAATCAACTGTCTAAACAGTATGTAGCATATGACAAGGAGGTGTATATCAGTTTTTTTGTTCAAAATCCGCAAGAATATTAAAAACAACTATCATCTTGTTTCTTAAGGAGGCCATAGGATTTATATATTAAAATTAGGTGGTGTTTCTCTCTATGGCAAATATTACCAAACTGAGCTTCTGTGAATTTTGGATTGCATTTGGATTTGGCAAGAACGTGTGCTATATAACTGCTAAAGAAATTGCCTTCATCTTGAACAATTAATGGCCATTTCTGTATTTTGTATAACACAGTACAGCTGCATGATTTAGCAAAGAGGAACAAGAAAACTGTATGGTCAGATTGAAAGGTAATTGGAGTTAAACCAAGACTTTATAATTCTACATGACAATGCAAGTTGTAAAGACAGCATTGCAATCCTATTTTTGTCCATATATTGGAAAAGCAACCTTTTATGTTAACGTTGACCATAAATCCATACCTTGGGATTGTCCTCTTGACCAACACAGACATGGATGACAAAGTTCATCATCACATCCAGTGTATCAGCTCAGTGTTCATCCAACTGAGGAAAAGAATATCGAGCACCAGGATCTCAACCATGAGACTCATACATGAAACTCATGTTTACTCAGCAGGGAACCCTGTGCTCCTATATAGTTTGGAGACCTGAACAACATAAAGCAGCTGCCTCAAAGCACAGGAGAAGTACAACTGTGATGCCTTCATAAAATCTTCTAAATCCAGTGACAAAAAGGGCATCCAACTGCATTGTCCTCTCCCCAGCTAACTTGCTTGGCATTGAGGTGCGAATCACTCAAAATCAGGTCTGCTGTGCAGGGCATTTTGTTGGTATGCTTGACACCAGAATCCCAAAGCAGTTGCTGTAATTAGAACTCACTTGTGGCATGAGACTCTTTGGAGAATAACGGCATTCCTTTAGAGATGTCCTTAAAACATTACTTATGAGGTCAAACGTCCCCATTGATTCGCTGGAGTCCCTGGTTTGTGACTGACTGAAGTGGAGAAGATTCATTAGGGAAGGCAAGAAATACATTGACAGACTTCATCAGGAAGAGGCAAAGTTGAGGCAGAGGAGAGAGTGCACAAACCTCTCAATAAGTCATCTTCCCAACCTCCACGCACCGCCTGCCTTATCTGTGGCTGAGTCTGCAGATTGCATTGAATTTGTTAGCTATCTCAGATCCCATGGAACTGGAGGTAGGTCATCATTAATCCTAAGGGACTGCTCAGAAAGGAGGGATTAACATTGTGTATGAAAGTAAATTGGAAGCTGTTATCTCAGCAACACTAGAGTTTAATATTGACTCAGATAGGATTGAAGCTATATCCCATAATTTGTGTGTAAAACAGTTATGTGTGAATACTTTTCCTGTACTTATGTATCTATCTATGCCTTGTTAATGGTATCTCATTCAAAAAACACATTTGAAGTTCAAAGGCTGAATTGCAGTGTGAATTACATCAAAACATACACAAAATTCATATACAGACGAAGGAATCAAGTTTAAAACATGTGATAATCATGTAACAACAAAATTCAGCAGCTGACAGGGAAGTGGCAGACAGGGTATTTCATTAAGAAATAATTAATTAAGTATATTGAAGTTACTAACCAGTGCATATGGATTTGATCATTCGTGTACTTCACTGAAGACTCAAACTCTACAAGGAGCAAGACGATCAGCATCTTTTGGTCTATATTTAAGTAATGAATTTAGTGGATCCTGAAATTGTTTTGAACGTGGCGATGATCTGAAAATTGTTTTAACTGATGCATGTTTAATCCAGTTTGTATTTTAAATGGGTTAATGTCGCTAAGGTACCAGACACTGGAATATCACCAATGGGTCCAGCACTCATTCACTGCTATTCCGAACAGTAACCTGCAGCCATCTGTGAAAAATACTGCAAAGGAACAGGTTACGATCTTTGCTGAAAGCACTTGTTCCCTTATAAATGTTATTTATAAAATCTATTTTCAGCCAATGAGTTCAAATGATTAAACTATTAATCTTCAACACGAGGGCTGTGCCGATTTAAAAATAATTCATACTTGATAAAGTGTGAATGTGTGAGCTTCTATGTTTCTCCCTGAAAGTGTTCAGTGCAGCATTGTGTACGCAGTGTGGCCTGTCTTCGATTACCTACTGCTTTCAGTAATGATTACATTTAAAGAGCGGCATATTTTGGTTCTGTCATTTCACTGAGAATTGTGCCACGGCAGTTAAACTTGAGCCACAGTGGGATTTTTTTCCCCCGCAGTATCCTCAACAGATCATTTCCTCTGTAAAACGGGATTGAAATCCAACCTGCAGGGTTTGATTAGACAGGCAGCCGCATAAGGCTAGCTGCACTCACTGCAAACAAATCTATTCACCCAGATTCCCAGATATTTAGGAGAAACAAGAGAGAGTGTGGAGAATACATTTTTTATTAGGAAATCAAAACTTATAAATGCAGATGTAACTCAGGCGAGGGAACTCACCACATGACAGTGCTATACCTCATACTGGGACTCCCGACTCACTAAGAGGAAGGTACAAGATTCCGTTCCAGTTGGTTACAGCTTGATCTCAAAGACCAGATTAATGACTCTATCATAGTGTGCGTTGAATTCCGCTCAGAATACTCTGCAAATGTGATTTCAACCATTTTTTGTTCCCCTCCAAAGTTGGCCGCGAGTAGTGCAGATCGGATCGAGCACTGGTTGATCATGAGCGAGCGGCAGACCAATGTGAACAGCCTGTTCCTGAACGAGGACTCAGGCAAGCGGAGTGCGGCGGACAGCCGAGTGCAGCGCTTGCAGAAGGCGGTGAGGAGCCGAGCTGGGAGGGCTAAGAAGAGCTTGAGTAACATCACCCGCCAAAGCGTGCTGAGCTTTGTCAAGAAAAATGCCTTTGTCCTTTTAACTATCTTTGCGGTCATTCTGGGTAAGAAATTCGGCTACTTGTGATTCTACAGGAGGCGGCTAATCAGGTTTCGAAACATTTGGACTCATGACAGTCTGGGTTTTATTCAAATTACATAAACGTACAAAAACAGCTTGACCAAAGTTTTTATACACTTACTGTGATCACTTAAAGAAAACCCTTAAGTGGGTGATTCAATACATTCAAAAATACAGCGAGCCAAATTCCTTGTTAGAACAGATCCATCAGCAATGGTTTGGCGTCCCACAACTTCTCCAACTGACATAGCGAGATAGCAAAAACTGCCGATGCTGGAGTCAGAGATAACACAGTGTGGAGCTGGAGGAACTCAGTAGGCCAGGCAGCATCAGAGGAAAAGGAAAGTTGACGTTTGTGTGGAAGACTTCATCTGCATCTGTGATACATCTGATCTAGCATTTCTTTTGATGGAGCAGAATGGAGGCGTACCTGTATCTATCCATACTATTACTGACCTGGGAATGCATGGTTGGCAGTGTAGAGGGGATCTGACATTCCATCACATTGTGCTTTGCCTGAAATGATACAATTTGGTGGTGACTACAGAGATTAACTCTCCACTAACTAGAATCATTCCGTCAGCTTTCCTGTTCCTCTGATGCTGCCCGGCCTGCTGTGTTCCTCCAGCTCCACACTTTGTTGTCTCTTTTCTCCAACTGACCGTTTAGCTCCACATTCCCCTAACCTACCTGTTGCATTCCACACAAATGTTCATGATCCTGGTGGTAAAGGATTGTTAAAAAAATTGCAGGGAAGTGTCTGAACACAGTTCAAAATATTTTCAGAGATAACAAGGTGTACAGCTGGATGAACACAGCAGGCCAAGCACCTCCCCCTCTCTACCTATTTATTTCAGAGCCCCCTTCCCCTCCTCCATTTCTGAAGAAGGGTCCAGACCCAAAACGTCAGCTTTCCTGCTCCTCTGATGCTGCTTGGCCTGCTGTGTTCATCCAGCTCTACACCTTGTTATCTCAGATTCTCCAGCATCGGCAGTTCCCACTATCTCTGAATCAAAATATTTTCAGAATTTTTTGCACTATCAGGTGAAAACTGGAATACAAGTATTCTCTTTTTTTTTCAAAGGATATTAGCACAACTTTCTGAATGTAGTCTTCTGACTTGGAATAACTGTTTGTTCAACTGTGAGCCTTTCAGAAGATAATGTTACCCTCTAGTAACCTGTATTCCACTTCTGGACAGAAAGATGCCTAACACAGAAATACAAACACATCAATTTGTACCAAAACCCATGCAATTCAATGCTTATTAAATATTGCATTGAAATTTTCATTGATTTGTCCTCTGCAAACATATACCTTACTAATCAGTATGACACACCACCTTTCCACTTTGCACAGAATCTTTTCCTTGGCTCCTTACTAATCATATTAGACCCATGTTGAAATACAAATGCTATGTGTTGTTCAACTTATCCTCGAGATACTTGGTTGAAACTCTACGGAGATCTCCTCAATCTCTCACCATAATTTTGGTAGGACCTCAGCAGACCCCACTCACAAAGAACCAGAACCTCAATTGAAACTGACTGATGGTGTTTCTTGTTTTGACATTCCATTCATTTCCAACTGAAGTTACCAAGTACCAACTGAATGACCTCCCCCACAACACTCACCTGAAATCTCTACCTACAATATTTCTCGATACAATAATGCAGAGTAATCTTTACTTCATGGCTAAATATGCAAGTGGCTGACCTGACAGAAAGGAAGACTTCATCTGCATCTGTGATACATCTGATCTAGCATTTTTTTTGATGGAGCAGAATGGAGGCGTATCTTTATCTATCCATACTATTACTGACCTGGGAATGCATGATTGGCAGTGTAGAGGGGATTTGACATTACATCACATTGTGCTTTGCCTGACATGATACAACTTGGTGGTGACTACAGAGATTAACTCTCCACTAACTATACGATACGAAATTGGGATGTGTTTAGTGAAGGAATGGGAAGGGAAATTTATGTTGTCTTCACCATGCTAAGGATGAGATTGGCCTGCTTGTTGGGACAACAACATTCCTTATGTCACCACTCACATGTTGACAGGTAGAAATATGTAATCATGTGTCTATCATATATTGCAAAAAGGTACATGCATGTAACTGCATTGCAACAGCCATATAAACATTTCCCGTAGAAATTAAAAATATTCACACTTCTCGCTGACAGGTAATTCTGATCAATTCATGTAACCCTTATTGATTTCCTGTATTAATCTAATCACTGATTTCTGTAACTTCACCATTTGGTGCTGTATTGCTTTCATTGCATGTTACAAATTTTGTTCTGCGGTGGATAAGTACTTGAGTTTGTTGTTTTAGTTCCTTTTATTAGCAGTCTGAGCAGTTTGTTTTTATTTACGTTAGTTCATGTAGTCATATCTACTTGGACAGTTGTGAACCCCACACTGTAAGAATAAAACTTGATTGTCACCTGCAATTGATCACTATCTCATGTAAAAACACTTCTTCAATCTTTCTGAAGGAGGACCCAGTTAACAATGGATTGGGTGAAGCTTGGTTTAAATCATAAACTGCTTTATTCTAAGCAAGGTGAAGCAGAGACAATAAAGTGGTGTAATCAGAATTCATGTAATGTAATTAAATAAGAAACACACATTACCTCCGCTCACTGTGGTCAGGGTAGACCCTGTCTCCCTGTAGTCTTCTGCCTTTCCAGCTTCCACAAAGTACCTTAAATTGTTTGTGTTCTGATTAATAAAGGGTCCTTCAATATTCTGGCATCATAGGGCAAGCTGCATTACCTAAACAAGCTCATTAATAGGCTACACTTTATTCTCTGGAAAAACAATTCTCTGTTGAGTATTTGCTTATCTTTTATGTGTTTCTCTTTTTTACGCTTATATATTAATGTTGCCCTCAAATCCTTTGCTATAAAAGTTAATTATTTTTTCAAGTTATGCAGAAAAATCAGAATCTGTGAACAATAGCAATTATGGTGGAAGGTGGGAGTAAAGGTTGCACCAGGGAGTTGGGAACAGATTCTGAGAAGGAGAATCACTGGTCAGGAGAGGAGGCTGGGACTTAGAAGCTGAAGTTGGTAGTAGGAAGGATTGGGAGTTGGGGGTGGGGAATAGTGAAGGGACCAAGAGGAACAGAGACTGGTGTGTGGAAAGGATCAAGCTTCAGGAGAGGAGACTTTGAGTTGGGACTAGAGCCAGAGAAGTGTAAAGATCTGAGATCAGGAGAGGAAACCTGTAAGGAGGATTGAAAGTCTGGAGAAGGACCAATGTCAGGTGTGAATAGGTGAGCACAGGAGTTTCTTTTGAATTCTTGAATTCATCAGTGATGTCTTTTTGTTATGCCCTTAAAGTTTTGGTTCAAACATTTTATTTATGTCTACCCTATTAAACCTTTTGCGAACCTCCAAAACCATAATCAGAAAAACCTCAAACATGTGTCCACATGTTTATTGCTGCCAAATAGCCGAAAATTAGACCTGGCAGGACAGTCAGACCCTGAGTTGTGATTCTCATGCAACATACTCCAAACACATTAAAATTCATCTTTAATGTTTGAAAGGCCTGCATCAAGGAATGACAATAAGCTGATAGTCTCCATAACTATTCCTCTTCTCTTCCCTCTTCCTGCATTTTCCCTGACCTATTCTCTTCCCCTCTGCTCATATTTGTGTCTCTGGACAATGGTGACCTTGAATTTTCCAAACTTGTCCTTTTGCCTCAAGTTTATTAATCAATACAAGGAATATAGTTCTGTTTGCACTAATATATTGCATGAAATTCAGTTTATTTTGACTTTTTGACAGGTATAATTCTGGGTTTTACCCTCCGCCCCTATAAGCTGTCTTACCGTGAGATTAAGTATTTCTCTTTCCCGGGTGAGTTGCTGATGAGAATGCTGCAGATGCTGGTGTTGCCACTCATTGTTTCCAGTCTGGTTTCAGGTAAGAGAGCTTAACCTATTACTGATTTCATTCATAAATAATGTCTAGAGTGTTTGTAAGACTTTTAAAAAAAATACAGGATCTCTAATTTCAAATCATAATGACAATCAAAGAATTTATGAAGGTGAAGGAATGCAGGAAAAGTAATGATTAGACAGAGACACAGTTTTATTGCTGGAAGATGTGTTTCATAAGGTAATAAACAGTGCAGATGGAGAGGAAGAACATTTCCAAGGGGAAAATATTAGAAGCCCAAACTGCAAATGACAACAGTGGTGAAGGTTATCTCAGAGTACAACAGGACTTTGATCAGATAGGTCAATGGGCTGAGGAGTGGCAGATGGAGTTTTATTTAGATAAATATGAGATGTTGCATTTTGGTAAGTGGCAGATGGAGTTTAATTTACATAAATGTGAGGTGTTACATTTTGGTAAGGCAATCCAGGGCAGGACTTATACACTTAATGGTAGGACCCCGGGGAGTGTTGCCAAACAAAGAGACCTAGGGGTGCATGTTGCATAGGTGCCTGAAAGTGGAGTCACAGGTAGACAGGGTGGTGAAGAAGACATTTGGTATAAGAACGGAAGAACATAAGAACTAGGAGCAGGAGTAGGCCATCCAGACCCTCGAGCCTGCCCCGCCATTTACTGAGATCATGGCTGATCTTTTTGAGACTCAGCTCCACTTACCCGCCAACTCACCATAACCTTTAATTCCTTTACTGTTCAAAAATTTATCTAGCCTTGCCTTAAAAACATTCAGCAAGGTAGCTTCAACCGCTTCACTGGGTAGGGAATTCCACAGATTCACAACCCTTTGGGTGAAGAAGTTCCTCCTGACCTCAGTCCTACATCTGCTTCCCTTTATTTTGAGGCGATGCCCTCTCATCCTAGTTTCACCCGCTAGCAGAAACAACCTTCCTGCCTCCACCTTATCTATTCCCTTCATAACCTTATATGTTTCTATAAGATTTCCCCTCATTCTTCTGAATCCAATGAGTATAATCCCAGTCTACTCAGTCTCTCCTCATAATCCAACACTCTCAACTCTGGAATCAACCGAGTGAATCTCCTTAGCACCCCCTCCAGTGCTAGTATATCCCTTCTCAAGTAAGGAGACCAGAACTGCACACAGTACTCCAGGTGTGGCCTCACCAGGACCCTATACAGCTGCAGCATATTCTCCCTGTTTTTAAACTCCATCCCTCTAGCAATGGCAGACAAAATTCCATTTGCCTTTTTAATTACCTGCTGCACCTGCAATCCTACTTTTAGCGATTCATGCACAAGGACACCCAA